CCCTCAGTGAGAGACATCAGGAAGCAAAGTACCCAGAGGAGTGCCTTCTCTGCAGTGGCGCCCCATCTGTGGAATGCGCTCCCCAGAGAGGTCCGCCTGGTGCCGTCGTCATTTGTTTTTCGGCACCAGGCTGATCTTTTTATTCAAACAATATTTTAACAATGTTTATTTATTTATTTATTATTTATTAAAACATTTTTATGCTGCCCCATTCACCGAAGCCTCGGGGCGGCTTACAACAAATAAGTTAAATCATCATAACATTTTAAAATATATACATTAAAATAAATTACAAATATACAATATAAAATAAGCCGCCCTGGCCAGAAAAATTCAATAATATTAACATTTAAAATGCTGCTTGAATAAAAAGGTCTTCGCCTGGCGCCAAAAAACAAATAACGACAGCGCCAGGCAGACCTCTCTGGGGAGCGCATTCCATAACTTAGGCGCCACCACTGAGAAAGCCCTCCTCCGAGTAACCACCCTCCTAATTTCTTTCACGGAGGGCTCCCAGAGAAGGGCCTCTCCCGCCGATCTCAGGGGGCGGCTGGGCATATATGGATGTAAGCACTCCTTCAGGTAACCAGGTCCCAAGCCGTTTAGGGCTTTACAGGTCATCACCAACACCTTGAATTGGGCCCGGACTTCAATGGGAAGCCAGTGAAGCTGACGGAGAACTGGAGTCATGTGAGCATAACGTCCAGTTCCCGTCAGCAGCCAGGCAGCTCTATTTTGAACCAATTGAAGTATCCGGACCGTCTTCAAGGGTACCCCACGTAGAGCATGTTACAGAAGTCAAGACGGGAAGTCACCAGCGCATGAGTCACTGTCACCAGGCAGTCGTACTCCAGGTAGGGGCGCAGCTGGTAAATCAGCCGAAGCTGGAGGAAAGCGCTCCTCGCCGCTGCTGTTACTTGAGCTTCCAGTGAAAGCTCAGGGTCGAGGAGCACTCCCAAGCTGCGGACCTTGTCCCTAAGAGGGAGTGCAACCCCGTTCAGGACAAGGTTCAATTCACCCTCTCCGAAGCCCGATCCGCCAACCAACAGGACCTCCGTCTTGTCTGGATTGAGCTTCAGTTTATTGGCCCTCATCCAGCCCATTACCTCGACCAGGCACCGGTTCAGCACAGCCACTGCCTCACCTGGATTGGTGGAAAACGAGAGGTAGAGCTGGGTATCATCAGCGTACTGATAATTCCGCAGCCCACACCTCCTGATGACCTCTCCCAGCGGTTTCATGTAGATGTTGAACAGCAAAGGGGACAAAATGGACTCCTGCGGTACTCCATGGCATAGCTGCCATGGCGCAGAGCCATAGTCCCCCAGCACCACCTTCTGGAATCGGCCGTTGAGATAGGAGCGGAACCACTGCAAAGCAGTGCCTCCGACCTCCAATCCCGCTAGCCTATCCAGAAGGATACCATGGTCGATGGTATCGAAAGCCGCTGAGAGGTCCAGGAGAACCAACAGGGATGCACTCCCCCTGTCCTTCTCCCTGCACAGGTCATCGTACAGGGCGACCAAGGCAGATTCAGTACCGTACCCGGGTCTGAAGCCGGACTGCAATGTGTCCAGATAATCAGTTTCATCCAAGAGTGCTTGGAGTTGTCCCACCACCACCCACTCTAACACCTTGCCCAGAAACGGGATGTTGGCCACTGGTCTGTAATTAGTGGCCATCTCTGGATCCAGTGACGCTTTCTTCAGGACTGGTCAGACTACTGCCTTCTTTAAAGGGCAGGCATCCGACCCTCCCTCAGAGAAGCGTTAACCACTTCCAAGATCCAGGTTCCAATCCCGTGCTTGGAATCATTTATTAACCAAGACGGGCAAGGGTCCAAAAGGCAAGTGGTGGGACGTACTCGCCCAAGCACCTTGTCCACATCATCGGGCCGCAGTAACTGAAATTCATCCAATAAATCTGGACCAGACGGCAGCGCTGGTGTCTCCTTTGAAACCTCTGAATCAATAGTAGTATCCAGCTCGTGACGAATCTGAGCGATTTTCTCCTTAAAATGCCTGGCAAAGTCGTCACAGCGGGCCTTTGAGGGTGGAATCAAGTCTTCTTTCGGGCCTGGGCGAACCAGGCCTTGCACCACTTGAAAGAGCTCCGCCAGACGGCATTGTGAGGAGGCAATGGAAGCGGAAAAAAATCTCTTTTTCGCCGCCCTCACCGCCACAGCATAGGCCCGATAATGGGCTCTCAAGTGTGTTCGGTCAGATTCATCCCGTGATCTCCTCCACCTATGCTCTAGCCATCTCCCAGCCTGCTTCATCGCCCGCAATTCAGGTGTATACCAGGGGGAAGAGTGGGCTCTGCCCGGCGGGAGAGGACGCTTAGGAGCGATCGTGTCTACAGCCCTGGTCATCTCCCCATTCCACAGTTCGACCAGAGCCTCGACAGGAGCACCCATTTTGTCAGCCGGAAATTCGCCCAGGGCCTTCAGGAATCCTTCCGGATCCATCCGGCTCCAGGGGCGGACCCACACAATCGGGTCCGCACCCTTACAGAGAGAGAAGTCGCTCTCGAGCACAAACCTCACCAGGAAGTGATCTGACCATGACAGGGGAGTCAAGCATAAATTAGTCACCCTCAGACCACCCTCTTCCTGCCCCGTCGAGAAAACCAGGTCCAGAGTGTGTCCACGTTCATGGGTCGGGCCGGTGACATGTTGAGACAGCCCCATGGCCGTCATGGAGGCCATGAAGTCCTGAGCCGCCCCGGTAAGACTAGCCTCGGCATGGAGATTGAAGTCCCCCAGGACCAACGTCCTGGGGGTCCTCAACACCAGGTCCGAGACAGTTTCCGTCAGCTCAGGCAGGGAGACTGTTGGGCAGAAGGGTGCACGGTACACCAACAGAATCCCCAATCTGTCTCGGTCGCCCAACACCAAGTAGAGACACTCCAGCCCTGGTCCCGAAGGGACAGGAAGTCCCGTGAGATAGATGGAGGCTCGGTAAACCAAAGCGACCCCCCCCTCCCCTCCCCTCCGGCTGTGAGCAGTGCTGGACCAGATACCCGGGCGGACACAATTGGGAGAGGGCAACATCCCCCCCCCCGCCCAGGTCTCCATTATGCAGGCCAGGTCGGCCCCCTCATCCACAATCAGGTCATGGATGAGGGCAGATTCGTTATTGACCGACCTGGCATTAAGCAACAGCACCGTCAGGCCTGAGGGGCGACTGATGAGACTCCCTGGCACCCTTTGGCTGGGAGCAAAACCAGAAGTAGGGACAGGTGTCAGCCATCTGTCCCTTCTTCTATGCGGACACGTTAAGCTCCCACCGCTGTTACGTCCATTGCCCATAACCACCCCAATGGCGGCACCGGTGCGCTCCCCAGGAAACACAAGCGGCAACATGGCCAGAGACGACTCCATAAAACAGTTAAAATACTATAAAATTATAAAAACAGTTAAAAAAAAACCCACAGCCCAGCAGGAGGGCCTAACACCGCCAAGCGAAAGCTCCCTGGCCAGCCCAGCCCCCTGCTCGGCCACCCAAACGGTCACCCAAACGGCAGCGACCGCCCTTTGGCCGATGCCCTTCGGCCGTCGGCCCGAGGCCACCGGCCCCGGCGCCGCCGGTGCTTTCAAGCCGCCGGCCCTCCAACGCCCCGCCTCGTCCGGAGCACGCCTGCCATGCGTGCAGGGGCGTGGCAGAGCAGCCAGGTGGGCGGTGGATGGCGGCGCGGCGCGGTCTTTCGCGGCGAAGGCAGCAGCTCCCCTCCGGCGTAGGCCAAAATATCTTTCAGTAATAGCCTTCAGAGCCTGTTTGCATGGATCTCAACTGCATCTGCTTTCACTGTTGCAAGGCTTCATTGTTGCAAATTGTTGTACAAAAAGCCAGTTTTATCCAGTAAGGCATCATATAAATGTTCATAATTAATTAACGCCTGCAATGTCAAAATTGCTATCTCAAAGAACTGGTTATAGCAGGAACGACCAGTACTGCCGCCCCATGTCTGTTACTGCTGGGCCCCAAGGAGGAGTCTAATGCGTTTAATATTTATTGGGTTTTAATTGTGCAGCCAGGGTGTTTCCGGGTTTTTAACTGTATTTGTATGATATATATTTATTTATTTCTGTGAGCCGTCCCAAGGCTATATAGCAAGGGGACAGCATATAACAACTTTAAATAAATAAATCCTTCCTGGAATGAGGGGCCCAGAACTGAACACACTACTCCAGTTGCAGGCGCACCAGGGTCATATAGAGTGGCAGTAATACCTCTCTCGATGTAGAAGCCACACTTCTGGCTAAGAGGAAGGCCAGGATCGCCTCTTGATCATCCCAGAGCGCAGGACACAGAAAAATGTGCTCAAGTGACAGGAAGCCAGATTCCAGCTCGGTATCAGGAAAAATTTCCTGACTATTAGAGCAGTACAACAATGGAACCGGTTACCCCAGGAGGCTGTGGGCTCTCTCGCAATAAAGGCATTCCAGCTGCAGCCGGGCAGCCATGGGAGAGGGGCGGTTTGGCAGGGAGCCATGCACTGAGCAGGGGCTTGGACCCCGCCATGGGCCATCCCGGCCCCTTCCAGCTCCGCTGTTCTGGGCTTCTGCGAACTGCCATCTAGGCTTCTCGCTTTACCCTCATTTGCTTCCACATCCCCACTGAACTGTAGGCTTGAGCGTTTGTGAGCAGAGACTTTGTCCTCAGCGAGGCACCGTGGACGCGGTTGGCACTATATAAATAACAGCAGCACTTTGAAGCTGAGTCTGCGTAAAGAAGGAGCCAAGTTGGGAATGTCCCCGAGAGGGGCATATCGAAGCCAGTTCAGCCACGTAACTATTTCCCCCAAGGAATCACGGGGACTGCTCGAATGGGTATGGCATGCTTGTCTGTGAAATGGGCTTAATAGCTCCCCTTTCCAGTCCCTTTCAGACGAGCCCCTGCATCTCAGGATCCCAGCAGCCCTGCACAGCAGGGAGATCGGCAGGGCCTGGCTCTCTGGGCACCGCTGTAATAAGTGGATCTGACCTCTTGGCTTTGCAGCTCACGTCCCTTGAGAACGGCCCGGAACTGCGGCGTGTGGACTCCAGCAGGAAGTCGCGGAGCTTCAGCAAGCAGCCCAGCACGGGGGACTATTACAAGCGCCTGGGCAGCGCAGAGCAAGACGGAAGCAGCCACGGGATGGCGCACAGCGAGGAGGTGAGCCACGCGGGACCGCCCCCGCCCCCATGCTCGCCTCCTTTCTTCTCGCAGCTTCAGCGCAGAGGCCAGCCTTGCGCTGAGGGAGCACGGGGGCACTTGCCCTCCCTCCCCGTGGGGGCCCTTGCGCAGTCTCCCACTGCGTAAGCCGAACTGCTGGTATTGCCCCTGCCTTGCTCATGGGGAGCAGCGAGGGGCAGGAGGGGTACCCCAGGCTGCTGCTTAACAAATCCCGGATCGAATCCTGGCTCCACCTGCTGTGTGCCTCCCCGATTCCTCAGGCAGCTCACCCTCTTTTTGAAACAAGATCCTTTGCAGGTGGTGCAAACAGATGCTTAAAAGCATTCGCAAGCGGCTTTCTCCTCAGCTCCCTCTCCCCCATCAAGTATCACATCGAAGCTACAAAAGAAGTTGCAAAGCTGCTCTCAGGGATGGTAGGGAAGGAAGGGCTATTGCAAAGCCCCCGGCTCTGGCCGGCAGGTGCCTGCCCTGCCGGCTTCCCCGCCCCTGCCCCTGGGCTCCCCATGCGGCAGCGGCTCGCTGGGGGAACAGGACACCCACACCCTGCCACACGTGCCCCGTCAGCCCTGGCTGGCTTTACTCCGGCTGCCCCCGAGGCCCCTGCCAGCCCTCGCTGGCCCTTGGAGTGGCTGCACCCTTGTCTCTGGGACAGGCCACCTCCACCACCTGTAACCGTGTTCCATCTGACGGCGCCCAAGGCTGCCTGGTCAGCGGACAGCAGGCCTGGACCGCGGCTTTCCATCCGGCACTGCCACTGTCAGCTGCACAGCAGGACCCCATCCCGGTGCACCGCTCGCCAAAGGCCCGGCCCTGTGGCTTCTCCAGCAGGGCTATTCTCCAGCTGCAGCCTCGCTCAGGGCTGTGCTGGTTTTGTGAATGCGCCTCCTGCCACAGACCTGCTTCGTTCGTGGTTGAGAGCCAGTGGCGGTGCAGTGGCCATGGCCGTGGGGCTGGGCTCCAGAGATCAGGATTCTGACCCCTCCACCACCCCCAGCCAAAGAACCAACAAGGTGACTCTGGGACACTGACAGACTCATGACACAACCTACCTCACAGGGTAGTTTATTTATTTATATTTATTAAAACATTTTTATGCCGCCCCATTCGCCGAAGCCTCGGGGCGGCTTACAACATAGATAAAACAATCAGTTAAAATATCCATATAAAATAATCTTAATTAAAACACACATTATAAAATAAGCCGCCCTGGCCAGATAAAATTCAATTGTATTTAGCATTTAAAATGTTGCTTAAATAAAAAGGTCTTAGCCTGGCGCCGAAAAACAAATAACGACGGCGCCAGGCGGACCTCTCTGGGGAGCGCATTCCATAACTTAGGCGCCACCGCTGAGAAAGCCCTTCTCCGAGTAGCCACCCTCCTAATTTCTCTCACGGAGGGCTCCCGGAGAAGGGCCTCTCCCGCCGATCTCAGGGGGCGACTGGGCAAATATGGATGTAAGCGCTCCTTCAGGTAACCAGGACCCAAGCCGTTTAGGGCTTTATAGGTCATTACCAACACCTTGAATTGGGCCCGGACTTCAATGGGGAGCCAGTGAAGCTGACGGAGAACTGGCGTCATGTGAACATAACGTCCAGTCCCCGTCAGCAGCCTGGCAGCTCTATTCTGAACCAATTGAAGTATCTGGACCGTCTTCAAGGGTAGCCCCACGTAGAGCGCGTTACAGAAGTCAAGACGGGAAGTCACCAGCGTATGAGTCACTGTTGCAAGGCAGTCGTACTCCAGGTAGGGGCGCAGCTGATGAATCAGCCGAAGCTGGAGGAAAGCGCTCCTCGCCGCTGTTGTCACCTGAGCTTCAAGTGAAAGCTCCGGGTCGAGGAGCACTCCCAAGCTGCGGACCTTGTCCCTAGGAGGGAGTGCAACCCCATTCAGGACAAGGTTCAGGTCACCTTCTCCGAAGCCTGAACCGCCAACCAACAGGACCTCCGTCTTGTCTGGATTGAGCTTCAGTTTATTGGCCCTCACCTGGCAGGAGACATCAGGAAGAGCTTCCTCCCTGTCAGGGCAATAGGACAGTGGAACCGGCTGCCTGGAGGGGGGGGGGGCGCTCCCACACTGGAGATATTCCAAAAGAAACTGGAGGGCCATCTGAGTGGGATGGTGCAAACTGGTGTCCTGCAACAGCAGGGGGCTGGACCCAATGGCCTCCATGGCCCCCTCCAGCTCCTCTGTTCTGGGATTCTGTGAAATCGACTGACTAGGGAGCCTCATCCCTGAGGGTGCTGCCTGTCTTGCATGACAAACAGAGAGGGCTCACTCGGTGGCGCATGAGCAAGAGTCTCAGGAATGAGGAAGAGTGGGGAGCCTGCAGGGTTGAGCCACAAGTGCTGAGGACAGGAATGGGGTTCCACAGGGAAGGGCTGCTCCTTGACCTTTGGCGCCAGTGATGGGATCCCCTCAGGACACAAAACGGCCCCCACTGTTGACTGTCTTCCCTTCTCTTACCTCAAAGGCCTCCCTTCCGTCCAGCGAGAACATGCAGAATGGAAGCTCGGCTGAGAACAAGCCCTCTGGAGAGGTGCCTCCCCCTCCTTCGCCCCCACCACTCCCCGAGGGTGCCTGTCAGCCTCCCCCACCCCCTCCACTGCCGGCGGAGAATCACCCGTCCTCGGCCAGCCAGCGGCGCTCATCTTCCTCAACTGGAAGTAAGTCAGATCTCGAGGCCCCAGCCGCACGGGGCCCTTCGCCACCCCGGGGGCGCAGAGCCTTGGGCCCAGTCTTCCCCGCCACAGCCCTCCCCACACTGCGGGTCGGTCGATGAGTCCTCCTCTTTTGCACGGGGTTTCTGCACTGCATGGCTGCAATGCCTTTTCTGCAGCAGCAGCAGCACCGGCGGCGAGCGCTTGGAGCTAAATGGCGCCGCTCGGTTCGGCAGCTGTGGGGAGGGGGCTGGCCGGCTGGCCGGCTACACCCTTTTACTTTTGCTGTCCTCCAACACTGGGCTGCGGTCCCCCAGGGCCCACGACATGGACCTCAGCCCTGGGGCCCCAGGAGGCTCTGCGCCTGCACACTCGAGTTGAGGGTTGTTCTCCTCCAACAAGAATCCTGTGAGCCACACGTGGGTGACAGTGGGACAGCTCTGAGAATCCTCCCCCTGGAACTGGACCCTTTTCAGAAGCACCACAACTCCTGAAAGGAATCTCGCAAAGCCGGGAGCGAGTCTGACTAGATGAGGACTGAGCGTGCGACACCGACTGGTTGCTGGCATGGCGGGGAGGAGGGACAGGAGCCTGGATGGGCAGCGGGAGCAAGCAGAAGCTCAAGGGGAGCACGCCATGCCATACAATTTCACTGTGGGTCCCACGTCTTCCGTCCTCGGGATCCCCGGGGGAGGGTCTGGACAGTTTGGTTGCCAGAACAACAGCAAGCAAAATATGGATCTTTCATTTGGAAGCAGACTCTTGAATTTGCTCCACAACAAGTGTTGGCTTGCCTGTGCGTGACCTTAAGCGAGTTGCTGACTAGAAGCTGGATGAGAGCAGGAGGCGGGCGAGGGCAGGGCATGCCCAGGAACCGCTGGAATCGCCCTGGTCTTGTTCCATGTGCCAGAAATGCAGAATCTCAGCTCTTTCAAGGAAGAGTAAGGAAATGTATGCATAATTTCATTTTGATTGCGTGACAGTATTGCTTCTGTGCCTATCAAGGCAACGGCATTCAGTCCAGATACCAAAACCCTTTCTTGATTTTGGAGGATGGAGGAATGGATCCCCTGCCAGCATTTGTTCACAGCTGAGCACCGAAACTCACGAGTTGCAGGGGCAGGCAGAGCATGGCGATGAAACCTCAAATGTGGTCAGGTGATCTCAGGGTCGCCAGATGGACTTTGGCCAAAATGGCCCGATCTGGAATGCCCCTTAATGGAGAGTCCTTCACCTGCAGGGGCTAGATCTCCTTCATCCCGAGGGCCGCGTTGCTGAGGAGGCTGGGCCAAAGACAAAAGGGGGCAGGTCCAGATTAACCCCCCGCCAAGCACCCTCCAAAGGTCAGGCCTGTGCTAGCGCAAGGCTCTGATAGCCAGTAGCGAGTCCTGGGCATGCCGACTGGGGAGAAAGGGAACTGGAGCCAGGAGCGCCACGATGCTCTGCAGGCACGGCTTTCCTGGGCGCGCGAGTGGGCAGCCCTTGCACCCTTTCTTTAATAAGTCCACCTGTGGCCTGAGCTGGTGTGGATTTGGCCAACAGACACCAAAGGCTGCCTCTGTCAGAAAGGCTGCTGGCCGACACACCTTTCATGACACCCAGTCGGGAGCCAGAGTGGCTCGAGCATTGGGCTGGGCCTGGGGAGAGCCACGCTCACACCCCTGCTCTGCCACGATGTGCACTGGGGACTTGGGGCCAGTCCAGGCTCTCAGTTTAGCCTACCTCATAGGGCTGTTGTCAGAGCAAAATGGAGGAGGAAGATCCTGTGCGCTGCTTTGGCCTCCTTGGGGGAATGTCGGGGTGGCGAGGAAGATGGTGAGGGGAAAGACAGCAGGAGCCCCACCCAGAGGGGGTGGGCCACCGTTTGATTGCATCCTGTCTGTTGGGGGTGGGGTTTGCTGTTTCCCCTTGGGCTTCTTCGTGGTTGTGTTATCATTGCACAGAGTGACTTAAAATGAGCAAAGCAGCACTCCCAGAATGCAATGTCATCACATTAAACTCTCACTGAAACACCCCCAGAATGGGAGGTCATGCAGCACTCCCCCCACAAGTTCTGCAGGTTGGACTTGGACTAGCCTGGGAGATCCTCATCTACAGGGGGTGCTGGCACATACACCCCCTTCCCAGCATCATAGCTCAATGTGCTGCACAGAACATGTGTTTAAATCTTACGTTTTTAGGGGCTCAAGAGGTTTGGAACACCCCAACCTATGCAATAGTGGGGCTTGGTTGGTGTTTTTTTGGGGTGACTGTGGATTGTGGCATAATTTACAACCATGCCGCATCTTGAGACATCAGAGTCCACTTGACTCTGAACTGGGACTGCTGGGTAGAAGCCGGTCACTGCCTTAAAAATGCCAGCCCAAGTAATCCCGTGTCCTTTGGATGTGCTGCTACATGCGAGCGGCTCTCCCCTGCTTGCTGCTTCACCCTGGGATCCGCAGCCCGGCCCCAGGAGGGAGCAGGGGCCCTTGGGCAGAATCCTCGGCAGCTGCACCGTGACCTTTCCCGGGATCGTGGAGGGATTCTTCAGGTGGACCCAGTCCAAAAAGGTGCTTAGAAATGTTCAAAACGCCTGCAGGAGGCCAATTATTGTCTGGAGTGCAAAAGTGTGGGGGGGGGGGGGCATGGCAGCTGCAGCTCGAAGGGCAGATCTGCCCCCACCCAGTGTCAGCATTTAAGTAGTTGGGTGGCTTTTCACTGCCTTAGCCAAAGGCTCAGGCCCTTAAATATTGATGGAGCTTTAATCCCCAGCCTTTGTGTTGGTCAGGATACCTGTCACCCCACCCCATGCTTAAGGATGCATTATTTAGTGCAGTTTGGGGGATTGTGGCTGGGAGACAGAAACACAGAAACTGAGCGAGTCAGAAGGAGCCTCCCAGGCCATCTAGTCTGACCCCCGGCTCCAGCCAGCTCCATTCATGACATGTGCATGTTCAGCCTATCCTTGAACACCCTCACCAATGGGGCTTCACCACCTCCCGTGGAAGCCCACTCCATACCCTAGGGGTCTTAACAGTCAGGAAGTACTTCCTGACATCCAAATTGAACCAAAGACGTGGGTTTATGGCATGGGAATGGCAAAAAGGCGTTGGAGCCCCGTTCCCAGGCACAGCCAGCTTTCTGCTGTGCCGCACCTGGAAACGAAATGCTCACTTTCCCCCATCTCTGGTCACTTCCTGCTCTTCAGGAGCTGCCTCTGTCGGCAACTCACTTTTAATTCCTGGTTGCCTGCTGCTCTGTGCTTCAAGTGGCCTGTTTGGTGATTCATCGTGGCCTTTCCTTTATCTAGTTGCTTCTCTTCTTCATATGACTCAGGAGATCTGTCTGTAACCCAAAATCCAAAAAAAGGAAAACAACTCAAAACAATAAGTAAATCTAAGCCTGCCTTCCCTAACCTGGCGCCATCTATGGGTTTTTGCACTAGAACACTCATCCCCCCAGCAAGTCAAATGTCTGTGGATGATGGGAGATGTAGTTCAAAACGCATAGGTGGCAGCGTTCCTACTGCATGGGAATTGTAGTCTGAGCATCTGGAGGGGTGAGGTTAGCCAGTGCCACATCGCATTGTGCAAGTGGGCTTTGGGTGATGCTGCCCACCTTCTCCTTGGCCCTGTGGCTTTCACCTGCGATCTGACATAGCGAAAGAAGACGGAGAAGCTGCTTTAGCATTCTGCTTGCATGTGATTGGGACCAGTTCACGTGCTTCATTTCTGCATCCCGGTGGCTGTTTTTCACACACGGCTGGCTGTTGATCTTTGGTTTCATCCCAGAACTGACATTCAAGCATTACCTGAGCAGCACTTGCTTTCCTGCTGGACAGCACTGTGCTGTGGTGGCATCATACAAATATATGAGAGGAAATCATGCTTTCCTTCACCATCAGAAATAGTACCCCCGTTCTCTTGCTTTCAAAAAACTCTAAATGTGCTCTTTGCAAACGGAAGCAAGTCTGGAGGACCACGACGTTGCCCAAAGAACGCAGGAACGGCTGTGGGAAAGAAATCAGGGCTGCGCAATCAGTGCCTGGTGCAGACGAACTCTGAGGCACAGAAATCCCTAACGAAATTGGCACTCCCCTGCCGGCCTTCTGGTCCACCACAGGCACCTCTGGTCCACGCAGCAAGAGGCAGCAAAAGCAGGGACGCGCTCCGGGAATTGTGGCGGGGCGGAGAAGCAGCCGCGTGCCTGGAGTGTGCAGCTTGCTTCTTCTGCAACTGGCTGCTTCCCTTAAGTCAAAATGCCCGCTTTGTCCTCCCTCCCACCCCAGCCTGCAGCATTCGTAGCTCTTGCTGTCGTCCGAGTGATGCACTGCTTGTACTTCTATGCTGCCTTTTGAAACCAACTAAAGCAGTTTACAAACATTTCAGATAACAGAAATCGTGGTCAGAGAAAAGCATAGCAAAACGTTAAAAACTGTCCTTAAAAGCCAAAGCAGTCAGAACACCAATGTGAAAAGCCAAGTTCAAAAGGCATGTCCTGGTCCCCCATGGAGAGCCACCACAGCTCCAGAAGGCAGGCAAGGCACAAAAAAGGCATTTATTTTCTCATTTGTTTATTTAATTTTTTTCTATACCGTCTTATATTTTCAAAAAATTTTAGGACAGTGTGCAAAAGAATCAAAACATTGGAACTAGGCAACCGTTCTTGATTTAAAATACGATAAATATCTCTTGCCTGTAGATTATAGATGAACTTCTGCAAACCGTGGTGGCTTTACAAGGGCTTCTGCTGCTGCTCCTGATCACCAGGCACTTCATACGTGGCTCCAGGACAGCTTGCAGGCTGCAATACAGCCCTGATGGTGGGAGTCGTGCTGGAATACCCACGGCTGCCCAGCTCAGGCTGCCTTCTCTTTCCCCTCCGTGCCTCTTGGCTTCTTCTTTCTCACCCACTGTCACCCATGCAGTTTTCCTTCATTCACCACACCGGTTGGACGTCTTGCATGTCCTCTGCCTGCCCCATAAAGCATTCATGCCAAAGTATTGATCCAGCCAAAAAAACAC